TCGAGAATTGAAAACTAGATTACTTATATATTTGCATAAATATTTTAAATCGTAGCGTAGCTTTAGTCTGGTTGCAAGTTTTACGTCATTCTAAAGGGATTACAAAACTTGTTTTATTACCATCAACTGATACTGTTTTCTTTCGACTCCTACAATCGGATATCAGCTCGTTATTAAAGTTGCCTAGGGTTACCATTAACCGATTGAATATGCTACGAGCTTAAATATCCTGGCGAAGAAGAAATACAATATTTCTTCTGATCAGGTTATATCTGTTTTTCCTCCCTTCTTTATTTGTGACTTTGATGCCGTTGGCAACCTCGTAGCGATTTGCTCATGCTTTTCGAAAATATTTTAGGTAATAAAGCAATAAAACTCTATATATGTATACGTATATATTTTAGCTACAACTTAAAGATCAACTCACTTTTCCTTTTAACCCATCTAATGAGAACCCAACTCTTCATGTGGAACCTTTCAAGGTGAGTTAATGATTTCACAGCCAACTAGTTTTTGTAAATTTGGCAATATTAATTTGATTTTGACTTCCATTGAAGTACATTACCTTATAACTACTAAAAATACACCTACTCTCAGCCATACTTGTATAATTAAATTTCCATTTAACTGCAAGTACGAGTATATTTCTGTGCCAATATTTACCTGATGTTACCTGTTTGTTCTACTGCCAATGCAAAACTAGTACAAAACTGACAGACAAGCTGACAATCCAACAAATAGACAAGCGGACAGACAGACAGGCAGAGAGACAGACTACCGGGGGAAAGATATTTGGCTGCAGACAGGCAGAAGACAGAGTACAGACAGCAAACAGACAGTGCAGTTTGGTGCAAAAGCAGACGGACGCATTGAAAAGCCAAAAAATATTCGAAGAGTTTTGTATGCATTTAATACCGTTTTGTAGTACTCGGTACGGTTATTTGCATACCGACAAACATACACACGAAGTGTAATGCATTACGGCTGCAGTTAAGTCTGCAATTCAAGCTGCGCTTACAAACTCAACGGTGATGCAAATATCTACAGTAGAGAGAAAAAGAGGAAAACCACTCTGACGTTGTTGATTTATGAAGTGTGCGTTTAGCAGACATTTCGCTGTGTAAAGCCCACAAAGTGTTGTCAAGTGACGGATTTCGTTGTTGCATGGAAAGCAACAGTGCGACGCAAATTGCTGATATGCCGTATATACATATGTATATACATATATATATATATACAATTATATGTAATATACTAATGCTCGTATCGTCGCTTAGTCAGATTCGAAAGGAAGCCTAACGGTCTGGCAATGACAAATGCTTCAAGTGCGTATCCGAAAAGTAGAACACTAAATGCCGACGATAGAAAAAGTAATGAGTACGAAAGTGTCATTGAAAAATTAACTTGGAATGACACTTTGACAGAAACAGCGGCAGCAAGGCGAGAGTAATTTGATAACTTTTTGGAATCCGCATACTTGTCTATATTATACATCAGTATATACTATACACACGAATTTTTTGCTAATTGGTACGAAAATACTTTATTCTCCGACTTGCTGCTAGCCAATAAAGGGAGAGTGTAATAAGTCTACTCCGAAATGCTGTAAGGCGTTTTCTTAACCGACTGGCAACAGCTGTTGGCAAACTGTTTTAATCTATTTTAGAATTTTCTTAGTCTGTATTTCAAATGCAACATACTCAACCGAAACTATGAAGCCATTTACTCTCGATTAAATTTATATTAAAATCACTCCAGTACTCTCAATGACGTATTGTGGTCATTACACACACTTCATACATCAACCAAAAACTCTATTTTATATATTATATATTTCGTTGGACTGTTCAACTCCTTCAAGGGTGTCTTGGAACACCAGTAACACAGGGCATACCACACCGCATACCACAAAATTACTTTAAGACAGACCAAAAGGAAGGAAAGAGGAAACTAAGTAACCTTGTAGGGGTATTCACAGGACGGTAACCTTGTAGGGGTATTCACAGGACGGGATAGATCATCCATCTAAATAAGCTTGGTAAAGTAGAATCTGAGAATACAGAGCATGCGGCGTGGATAATGAAACGCTAGAACATTTCCTTTAGGAATGTCTCAGCAAGTTGGGACGGAAGCTGTCAAAATAATATATATATAAAATATTGATAAACGCTGTATTGTCTTCGCTTGCTAATTTCCTCATTGCTTTTACATGTAATTTTTTTTTTAAAGAGAGCGAGCAGAGCAATTGCTAATTGAAGACGGCTATAGGAGAAAACATAAACGATATTCGAAAGATTATCGTCAAAACCGCTAAAATCATTTGGTGTATAACATTAGACAATGCTCATATACACGGTGTTTATCAAACAGACTTTTATCCATTAGCTAGTATTTATTGTATTTTTATACCCTGAACAGGATATATAAAGTTGTAAATAATCAGCATGACGAGCTGAATCGATTTAGTCATGTCGGTCTGTCTGTACATCTGTGTATACGCAAATGATGAAATATTTGATAACTTGTGTTCACACAGATTACGAAAAAAAAAATTTAATTTAAACGATTTCTCCGTAAGTGTTTTTAATACCCGGAACGGATGAATGAGCATAATATTCTATGTATATATTACTTGTCTCAAGAATTCATATGGTTTATTTGAAATTATTGCTATTTATTATTCCTTAGACAGAGCAATTTCGAGAAGTAAAAATTATTAGAACAAAAAAAATACCGTCAATATGTCAGAATCGGAGAAATTGTTAAGTTAGCAAAGTTATCGCGTAAAGTTTTATAACTTGCAACATCTCTCTTTCACTTTTTTATCTAGTTTTACATTAGCCATGCGACTGCCACATAGTGTTGCACTGACAACCACTGATGCTGTTGTTGCACTCGTCGTGCTGCAGCAAATTCTCTTCACGGCGAATTGTTGCCCGCAGCTCTCGCAGACATAACAAAAACTTGAAGAGGTAAACAAACCCATGCGAACTTACTATGTTACAACAAGATAAAAAAAAAAAAAAAAATAAATAAAAGTTGCAAGACATAATAGAAAAACTGAAAGCAAAACGATAAAAATATAAAAGCTAAAAGTAAACTGAAGTAAACTGAAGAAAACAGAACTAAATACGATGGTGTGTGTTTGTGATTCTTTTATTTCCACTGTTATTTGCCCTTCTATTCTGGCTTTTTTGCTGTGCAGTCATCTTTGATTTCGTTATTGTGTTCGCAGCAGTTTGCTTTGTTTTGACGTTGTTTTGCTGCCGTCAATTGCCACAATAATATTTATGCAGTTGAACTTGCATTTCTCAGTGCAGAATCTAGAAACTGTGAAGATTCTTAGAAATGAAAACGAGCACATATTTCACTGCTGGGGGCTATACTGGTCACCGATTTGCGGCAATTTGCGGCGAATTGTCTCAAATAAATGAAATTACTTCACCAGCAGTTCAAAACTTCATGTCTAAGAGTTAGAGGTTTTATTTTATGGTATAGAGTTTTAATTATCAAAGTAGGAATTCCAATAGATCTACTCACAAAGAAGAGAAAACAACTCTGGCTATGAAAGAAAAACGGAATAAAATTACATATGTCCACAATACAATAGACGAGGAAGACAAAACTTAAGCTCTGGCAAGATCGGTGGACAAGAGAGCGCAAAGGAATATGCACCGCTAAACTAATCAAAAGTATAGAGATGTGGCACAGTAGGAAACACGGCGAGGTGAACTACACTGCTAGCTACAAAATCATAGGCATCTCTGGACGCAGGGAAAGTAGAAACTGACCTGCAATAGGTCTAACTTGGAAACCTTGCCCTGATGTAATGCGAAAGCATTTCTGGGGCAAGTGAAAAATCCATGATAGTAGAGGAGTGTTTTAGTGAGTACACCACTCACGTAGGATGACGATGCTTATAAGGTAACAAGACAATCCTCATAAACCTTCATTACGGCCTAAAAAAGCAAAACAAAAAACGTTGTGGTGGCTATACCAGTATTAACATGTTGCTTTATTGTGTTAATTCTGCAATTCGTGGTATATATCTTATAGTTAATCCACAAACTAGAAATCATTAATTTTGAGCCGTCCCCAAACAGCTATTCTTGAAAAACGTTCCTTGGGTTTTTTGTATATAACTATAGAATCTAGCCAGCCGGGACATGAACTCGTTGAGTTAGAGTTCCATAACAAACTCAAAATTATTTTTAAAAACTGAAACAACTACCCCAAACCAACAACCTTCCCATACATTTTTTTTTTTGTTGCAAATAAAGTCCATTTTATCGGAAAGTGATTGGAAATTGATGAATTTAATAGGCAAGTCACCGAAAATATGCCGGCATACTATTGACATTTGTAAACGCAATAGCAATACTGTTGCAATATAAATTATTACAACAACAGCATAGACCATACAGACAACAAACAACATTAAAAAAGAACTGTAAATGGAATGTGACACAATTCGATGGCGTTGAAGTAAACAGCGACATTTTTCGTTGATTGAGTAGGCGTGCAAAGGTGGGGGTGGAGTGAGGGTGTTGTTGGCAATCGGACAACTTTATTGGCGCAAACGTACACATTATTAAATGCCTGTTGACAATTTTTACAGCGAAAATGTTGCAATTGTATTAACAAATGTGCCGAAAGAATTTGGAGTGAGGTTAGGTTGGTTTCTTTTTTTCGGATTTTTGTTTGCAACATTTAAAAAATTGCACAACTGCGCGGGCAGGCGGCAACTGGCAACCGGATAACGCAAATAGACATGCAGTCAGACAGATTCAGCGACAGATAGGCGGTGGAAGATTAGAGCAGAGATAGATAGATATGCGTCGCTGTGGCGCTTTGAGGGGCGAAAGAAGGTTCTTTATTGAAGCATATGGTTCATACAAATTTTGAGCTTAAAAGTTTATCTCTAATTCAAAAAATACACTTTAAAAATAAATATAAATATACATATACCTATGTATATTCTGCTATTATTTCAAAATTTATATAGCAGAATAAAATCAGATTTAACAAGTAAGAGAGCTATGAGCTATTCATCGGGTGTAACCGCACATTTAAATAACTAGCAAATTGGCCGATATAAATATGTGGTATAAAGTCTATTGGAAATTCGAAAATCTTTATAATATAAGGTACGTATATAGGTGCTAAGGGAAGTAATGATCCGATTTTTGACAGCTTGAATAGTTAAGGTCCGGTTTTGGCAATTTTCAAACCTGAGATGGTATACCTTGAAGGAAATATTCGAGCAATTGTTTATTGCGATATATACGACATAGGGTCAACCGGAGCGTACAATCAGATAATTCCCTAAATCAGCGTACCCTATATACAAGTATGTACCTAGTCTGGTTTCCCCTTTTTATCTACATTCAATGATATCTACATTCCTTAGGTCACGGGAACCACATACGTCCCTTTATGAACTTTTAAACCTAAACGAAGCTTGATTGAGATAGAGCTATAAAGTTGTATATAATTTCAAGCAATTCCTTTTTGCAATATCTGTTGCATACTCAGAAGAGCCGCATATGGAAAATTCTACCGCAAAATACACTAAGTGTCTAAAAAATATGCACACATATTTTTTTCCACCTTTTAGTGAAATTGATATGAATTGAATTGCGAATAGTAGGGCGACAATCCTAGTCTTGAGCGCGCTGACCGTACACTCGAGACTAGTGAAGGGATGCCTCACCTTTTTACCTCTGGCATCGAGTTACTTCATGATTACGGTTTGATTATAGCGGATTTGCATGAAACTACAAAGGCAATGGGTATGCTAGATCAGGTATTTCTATCTCACTTGCTGTAGAATGGGAACGGAACTCCACTGGCTTCTTGCGTTTCACTACTGGATTTTTGAGTCTCAGACGAGCTCGGCAAGCACTCTCCGATACTTGTAACTGATGCGTCTTTCTGGCACCGAGTAAATCGTCGGGGGTCTAGTGAGCTCCTTGTCCAAAGGTAGCCTTTCAATAGTAACAAAAGTTCTAACGGGACACTGCTTGATCGGGGTTCAAGCGAAAAGATTACAAATTTTACCGGAGGCCAGTTGAAATGAAAACATCTAGCCTAATCAAGGCTAAATACCTCGGATCTCACATTTTTAGATATCCAGGTGAAATAGTTGAAATAAAGTTCCGATGCAAATTTGCGATAGGTTTAAAGCATTGAAAAAGTTTTAAAGATCAATGTTTCACTTACAATCACATATACGAGTAAGTATCCTCAAATTATTTCGAGTTTAAGCTCGTTTGGTTTAAAAACTAATACGTGTTAATGTCAAATATGAACAAAAGTTCGGAAAATATGCTGTCGTCGACTTTACATCGAATAACATGGTCTATATTTGAAACCCTTTTTAGCTTTTCGTATACAACGGTTAACAAGAATTCGGTTTGGGTGATTTAGCTGTTACTTTTTATATTTTTTAACAAAAAATCATTTGATTTTGAACCCTGTGGCAGTTTCTCTAAATAACTACGCAAGATATGGTGAGCAATTTTCCATCCACCCTTCTAGAATGCAGTTTTTGGTCACGCTCACCGATTCCACTAACAATTTGTGCCACATTCTAAGTATTTCGATTGTTTACTACCCAAATTAGTTGGCTTGACTTTCATTCGCGTTTGCCGCAGTTGGCATTTGACCGTTCGATTGACCAAATTCTTGCTTACTGGTAAAAGGTAAAAAGAACTATTTGATCTCCAACTATTCACAATTTAACCCAATTGAATGAATTCGATTTCCACTGTTCGATGCATTAACTCACTTTCCATTGCGAATGCCTACGATCAGATAAGGCATTGTGCGGGCGGGCTGCCACGACTGTTCGATTGCGTTGCGATAAATGCGAATGTAAAGAAACTAGCACCTATCTAGGTCCAGGTGTGTATATCGCTGTGTATTTCGTTGAAATGTTAAGCGACGTTGGTCGTAAAGTTATTGCCAACTTTTGGCTTTCATGCCTAAATAGTTAGTGTGTAATTTATTTTGTTTTCCACTTCCACCTTCCTTCTACCTTTTCAAAGTTCGAAAGCTCGTTCGCGACGCATAGTTGCTTAGTCAGCCAGAAATTGCTATTTAAAAGTTTCGCTGACGTTGCCACTGTGTATTAATAGGCAACAAGCGCTTCCAATGAGCATATTGTCTTTGTTGAGGGTTTCTTGTTTTATGTTCTTTTTGTGAGCGAGTCGACGCTAGCAGTTTATGTTAGCTAATTTTTGCCACAATTATATGTTTTTTTTTTCCAAAGTTTTCTTGAACAACAATCCCTTTTATCTGTAAATATACGGCGCACAAGTTGTCAATCATTCGATTCTATATTAGTAATTGTTGTAGAGGATTGAGGTCACCAAATTATCTTTACATATAATTTTTAACTTGCACAGTTTCAGAGTATTATAATTCTTGTGAAGGCCTTTGTTCAACCTTTTCCAAATTTAAAGAGGTAAATTATCGTTATCTATGAGAAGTAGGTCCTAGGAACTTACAGACACATCTGTTGGGAAGCAGTTTTTGTTTGATCAGACGTTCATGGAAAATAGGAGTTGGTTTGTTTTGTAACCACTGTGATTTTCAAGAAGAAATAAATCGTATATAATTTAATGTTTTGGGCAAACATTTAGCTTTTTTATAAAATAAGGGTTTGTCAATATGTTTTCAAAATGATTTCGGGCAAGTGACCGTCGAGAATAGCTCGGGGCCGTATGTCAGCAATAACGCGCTCTTCCAAGGTGTCAATAATCTCGGGCTTATCTGCGTAGGCAAGCGACATAGCATAACCCCACGAAAAATAGTCCAGCTGGTTAAGTCTCACGATCTTGAAAGACACGTTACAGGCCGGCAACGCGAGACAGTGCGCTCACTAAAAGTGGATTATCATCACCACCAAATGCAACAGTTTTGTTTATTCACATACCCACTGAGTATAATGCAAGTAGCAAAGCTGCCAAAAAGACCAACTCCGAAAAAAGTATTGCGTCTTTGAAAACCACACGTCTAAATAAAACACGTGTTAAACGCAATAGCGTTTTCTTCTTAAAGATTTGCATATAGATTTATTTATAAATCATTTCCGGACTTTATCTGGGTGGAAAAAATAATTAAATGTACCAAGTTCTATATTAATCTAAGTATAGAACAAAGCCTGAACAATTTTGATTGAATATTAAGTGTTAAATCGTTTATTATTTTACGAATATAATAATTTAAACTATTCGACCTTTTCCGCTCTTTTTTGTGTTTTCTTCTTCGGTTGGGCCGAAATTCACATTATGATTAAACAAATAAACCGAGTGAAAGTTTTTTCAGAATTTTTCTTATCGTTATTGTTCCTCGATAGGAATATTAAAACTCCGAGGATATTTCTTGCACGAAAAGAGTATAATTAGATCCGATTGTCGTTTAAAGGCAGCAAAAAGCAAGTTTATAAAATCATAGTTAGAAGAATTTAAGTTTATGTAGCTTAAAAATGTTTACTAATATTAAGTGATGATTTTATGAGGAGTATTACTACAAAAATAGATAGAAATTCTTTAGGTATAGCTAGCACACATGTATTTTGTATTTATCTTCAGTATATTTTGAAATATTGCTATGTACGAACCTACACCAGAACAACGTTTAAAAATCGTGGAAATTAATTTCTAAAACTTGCTTTGATTTTTTTTTGAAGGTGTACAAAACACATTCCGGTTGGATACGACAAGGTACATTTTTTAATGGTGACGTACGAAATTGCCATTTTAGAGTGCGAACAAGAGATCTTCCAGGCTGCCTAACATCAAGAAAGAGTTGTTGTCCGAAGTGGTTTGCTTGCCGAATGTATAACTAATACAGAATTCTTTAAAACTGACGATTAAATGGGGCCTGTCAGTTGGCGACCCAAACCTTGGTCTTTCCATTTTATTCTGTTAAACCATTTTTAGTGCTAATTATCAACCTGTGACTAAGTTGTTGGAAATCAACATTCGAATTGGAAAAGTAAGGCGGCCTGTGCTGGAAAATATGCGGCAAAACTGTGATTTTAATAAAGCTCCAAACTACAAGTATTGCATCAGTCGAAATGTACGAATGCAATACAATTTCTACTCTTCTTAAAACTCACTCTGTAAATTGTATGTGTACTTTATTTCTCAATGCAACACTTATTTTGCTTCCTCATTGCCCTTCAGAGACTACGCAGAGTGCATTCATTGCCGCATGCTTCTTCTATTACCCTCCAGCAATGTATTTCACTTTATTTTTAGCGAATTCCTTTGATTTGCAAGTCTCTATTTTTAGTTGAACTCAATCAAATGCAAATAAATACATATGTTGGAGCAGCCGAGCAATGTTTGCTAGCAACAAAAATGAACGAAAGCAAATAAGGTTTGTACATCCGCAGAGATGCACAGAAAGATTACAAGAAAACAGAGGCTATAATTGCAGTAAACTTGGATCATATTTTAAAATAAATTAGTTAATTGATTTATATATATTTTTTATGAGTTTTACAAATACAAGTATATTTCCATTACCATTATCAGCTTGAAATGTTTGACAATACGCTAAACCTCGTATAAATTTTCCACTTTCGACTTTTGGCTGACTTTAATGCCCTGGAAATCCTTGTGCCCAATTTGTCTTACCACTTAAGAAGTTACAACAGTTATTAAATCAAAACAATATATTGATGTAAATAAGTAATCATAATTGTTATCCAATGCGTTTGCGCTTTTTCGCGAGTAATCCGCTCACTTGTTGCACCACTTGACCGCCTGGGAAGCGTTACGAACCAAAATGCAAATGCAAAAAGTCATCACTCGAGTTGTCTTCACATTTTCTGAAACGCTTACATTCACTCATTTCTGCAACTATTTATTTTTTTCATTCTTCTTGGTTGACAAGCGTCACCGTACACGGTGTCTTAATGCGACTTTTGGTGAAACGTAAATTATTTTGCAAACAAAATGCGCGCAGTAAACTCGTGTAGGCAGGTGAATAATATTGCAGTCCGTTTGGCCACATTTCTGAAGGTTTTAGCACTTCGAGTTGCATTTTGGTTTTTCTGTTGCATTAAATGCATTTCCAAGGCCTTTTGACTTCAACTTCGTTCAACTTTATTTTGGTGTTGCAATTCATACATATATACAAAAACAAAAGCAAGTGAATGGGCAAGTATCTCAGTTAGCATTTCTATCAATTTTTGACTACGCTATATTCATTCCGTCATTCGCATGTCCTGTTGCATGAGATTACAGTGATGTACTAAATCATTCGCCTTTTCTATTTTACTCATTCTCAAGAGAATATTAATTTCAGCTAACATACCTTTGGGATTTTTCTATTTATACCCTGAACAGGGTATATTAAGTTTGGCACGAATTTTGTAACACCCAGAAGGAAACGTCGGAGACCCTATAAAATATATACATAAATGATCAGCATGATGAGCTGAATTGATCTAGC